GTCCCACAGCCCCGTGCCAAGGCGTCACCTCAGCCTGGCTGTGGCTTGGAATGGGGCTGTGTTTGACTGTGGAAGGTGACCCCAGTTCGGATGGCGGGAGGTTGGGGGGCACCACCACTTCTGTTTGCAGGGGTCAAATTTCGAAACGGGGACTGACCGGGAGACCACCGAAGACTGGACCGGGAAACTTCTCCCCGTATTGGAGCGGGTCACTCAGCGCCCCGTACTGAGGCGGGGGTCCCGGTCCTACACTGGAGATGGGGCTGTCCCGGCTCTGTTTCGAACGGAGGAACCGCACCCCATGTTTCGGGCAGACCCCTTTCCCCGACACTGGCCCGCGGGGGTGATGCCGGCGGCGGGGCCGGACAGCGGCCGGGGGAGCCGGAGCGACCCGCTGTGGGGCAGCCCCGTGGCCCGGGCTCCTCCCGCACCGCTCCGAGATGCCCCGGGCTGGCCCGAGCCTCCATCGGCCCCGGTAATTCCGCCTCGGGAGTCCGACACCGGAGCAAAACAAAGACCCAGCCGCGCTGCGGGCTGATGTTTTCCCTCGCCCTGAGGGTTTCCTTGGTAAAATTCAGATGTTTCCTTGGGTCTCGATTAAAATAACAAAGTGGGGTATTTGCTAGGATGTTATTTCAAGTCTCTTAAGTCCCTGGTTATGTCTGTTGCGATTTCTCCGCAAATACAAAAACAAGCGCTGCGATGATTTATTTGAAGGAATGTAGGTGTTTCGCCAAAACAAACATGGCTTTTTTTTCTTCTTCTCCCCCCCTGAAACAATCGCTTCTCACGAGCATTTGTCTCTGCAGCCTCTTGGATTTCTTTCTGCTGTAATTTTACAGGTGTCCTGTCACCGCATTGTGAGCAGGTTTCTAATGCCAACCAGCGGCTTTGCTCGGTATGTACACACACACTGTGCAGAGGCACAGACGGCACTCCCAGGACACCATCCCAAGAAAACCCCACCCCAACAAATTCTTGTCCCATGCACGCTGGATGGCCAGGCCTGAAGCCATTTGCACACCTTGCACAGCACTTGTGGATTTTGCACAGCCTTTGCACAGGGCTTGCACAGCCTGCCCATGGGGTTGGCATGGCTTGCATGACATTTGCACACCCAGTGTGTTCACACGGGGCCTTGCACACACCACCCCCCTCCCCAGCAGCTAGTGACCCCCGGGAGCCTAACCCAGCTGGGGCAGGAGACAGGGGAAGGGCTCGCAGAGGAAAGCTTCATTAACTGTTATTCTTCTGACAGCCCCTTTTTAAATCCAGCCTGATGCTGTTCAGATACTAAAGGTCATTTTTAAAAACCATCTGACAAGACCTCCCAGCCCTGAGGCTTCTCTCCCCCCTGGCCAGGGTGCTGAGGCTCCACTCAGGAGCCCTCCCAGAACCAGAACACGGCAGCAGGGCTCAGGGCATCTCTTCCCAAAGATGGGAATGCTGAAAAGCACTGTCTGGTCCTGACCCACTTAATCCCACCTCAAAGAGCAGCCCCAGGCTCCAAATTGTGCTCCTGATGCTCCCACTGCAGCGCATGGCAGCACTCATGGCTGCCCAAGGAAGGAGTCAAAAGGGTCAGCAAAAGGATGGAAGGATGGTGGGATGAGGACTGTTCAATGGGCAGACAAGTCTATCCATAAACCTCCAGGCTTCTTGCAATGGTTTCTGGAGCATCCTGCCTGGAACCATTTCACACAGTCAGTTTTATGGGAAACAGTGAAAGGGACAAAAATGGTGAGTGTGGGCCCCAGTCCTACAACGCTTCAGCCTCAAGCTCCAAAGTCTGCACATCCTCCTGCAGGTTGGGATGCATGTTCCCGCCCTACAACTGTGGAACCCCAAGCTCCACCAAAGTCCCTGGGACTGGAACTGTCACTGTCACTGCATTTTTGATCTGTATGTTTCAAAAATTAAAGTTACATTGATGCAACAGACAGCTGTGCCTCCTGATCGTTCTTCCCCCACAACTTTTTTTGCTCACAGACCAGTCCTTTTCTCAGCCCCCAGTGTGGGCACCAGAGCCAAATCCCTGCCTGCTGTGAGCTGGCAGAGCTGAGCAAGGGGTTCCTGTGCATCAATGTGCACCACACCATCCTTGTCCCTGTGTGCAGCTGTCCCCATGACAGAGCCTTGTGCTGCTGGGTGACAAGGGGCAGACCCCTGTGCTCATTGTCTGTATGGAGACCCAGACACAGGCACACAGACCCCCACCCAACCCCAGTGACATGGACACATGCCTGTGAGCACCAGAAGGCACATGAACACACACACACACACACAGGTACCCCAACCCAAGCA